ACAAGTCCCGTATCCCAGCATGACCTGTCCCAGAATATTATAGATAATTAACTGTTCATAGGTTTGTTAAATCTTGAAATACTTACCTTTAAATTTGAGGGTCCTCATACATCATAAAGTTGTAACCACATTTTGATGTTTAATAATTAAAACATATTAAAACAGTTATACAAATTTTAAATATCGAACAATGTTAAAGAGTGATTGATCTACTTTACACAAACTCTACTAATCAGTTTTTGGATTCTTTTTCTAAAACATTTTATTTATTCCTACAGTTTCTACAGAATAAATGAAGTTGTTCGGTTCCAATACTCCAGACCATTCCGAAAAGGAGAAAAAGATCCAGACAATGAATTTGCTGTAAGTTTGCGGGGATTATCTTTGAGGATTGATTTTTACCATTTACACATTTTAAATACCAAGTAGAAAGCTTTAGGATTAACATGTGTGATTAATAAAGTTATAGGGATTACTTGTTTGCAAAAGGAACCTGTGTGGCGCCTGATAGAACAAAATTTGCAGTTTCTAGGGATAAAGAATTAGACCATAATTAAAGTGAAAAGAGCCTCAACATTTTATAATGTGTCTCTGCCCTAAGCTATCGGATCAACCTGACTCATTTGTTTTTCAACAATATTACAGACACATTGTAAAAAGGTGAACATTGCCCATAACTTAATTTTATCCCTAGGTTTGTTTTTAGACTACCTCTATTACTCTCTGCTAACTGTGATAACGCTGACATGTCTCATTGTTGCTGGATAGGAATGAATGGTTTGCTGTTAAAATTTTATTTTTTGTTTAAAACTACTCCAAGACATCTTTTAGTTTTCTATTTCATAAATTCAGTTGGGGCATAACTAGAACTCATCGGGCCCTGGGGATCCGAGAATCCTCATGCAACCGCCTTTGTAATCCTCTGTGCAGATTTAATTCTGTAGCCACAAATGGACTGGTATAAGGATTTTTACCACCCTTTCATCTATCTCCCTTTAGTCTCCCTTTCACCAAACTAGATTCCCCCTCAATATCTTAACTTTTTTTCCTCCCAGTCTATTTTTACCCATGTCTTTCTAACTATATCAGAATGCATGTCACTGTTCTTCCAATTAACTGTCTCTTCCCCCTTATTATTTTTAGCCTTACTGTCCCATTGTCTTTCCACCGGTTTGCGTGTGCTATATGTTGAGTGTGAGGGATCTGCATGTGTGTGAAGGCTGCTTTTGTAGTGTTGTGTGTTTAGGGGGAGGCTGTATAAGTGGGCATAAACTGGTTGTGCGGCGAGCGTGTATATGTTGTGTGCAAGCATATTCTGTCTGTGTCTGTGGGTTGGCGGAGACGTGCATATGACTGTGGGTTGGTTATTTCATCATTAAAAATATGCCCCCCACACACTCATAGTCTTGGCAGCTTCATTTAGAATTGCCAGGGTCATCACAAGGTGGTACTCATTGAGAACCACACATGCCAAAAGGTGCAGACCACACACTCCCTTGCTGTCATGACTGTGAGCACAGGGCCAATCAGAGAGGTCTTTTAATTTCCCTGCTGGCAAATGCAGGCAAGGCCACCTCCAACAGCAGAATTCCAGGAGCTGATCACAGTCATGGTCGTTGTGACCTTGGCACATCTGCTACTGAATTCAATGTTTTCTGCAGCCCTCTGTGTATTTGTGAATTCATTAAAATAACAAAATAAATCAACTTTCTAACTATGGTGTGGTGCATTGAATTGTTCACAAATACTATCTCTGACATAGTTAAAGTATAGCTTAGTGTAGTAAAAGCTTTAAAAATGAAAGAATGTTAACACATTTAAATGCATGTAACATCGTTCAATTTTCTTCACAGAATATGTGGATCGAGAGGACAACATTTTCAATAACCTACAAATTACCTGGAATTTTGAGATGGTTTGAAGTTAAATCGATGTCTACGGTAAGACGAAAACTATTGTTAACTTTAATGAAATTTTTTCATGTGCATTATGTATGATTGCATGTGTGTATATATTTATATAATTGAATTTCCCTTATTTTTTGAAGATAATTTACATTGGCACAATATCAAAAATCAAAGCATATTTATTATATTGGCTTGATTTATTTTATATATATATATCTCTTTTACATATATCTTTTTTTTTTTTTTATGTATCTCTTACATGTGCTGAGAAAGCAATTATACACTGTACTTAACACTTCCTACTTTATATAATAGATTTTTGTCGCAAATACATTTCTCATGATCGAAGCGTACACATTGTGGCTATATGAAATAATATTTGAACATGTTAACTTGGCAAGTGAGAGATTCAGTATTGCATAAATCCACACTTATGATTTAAATGTATGGTATTTGATGTTATCCAGTCTGTTTATATAGCAACTCTTTCATTATGTGAAGTGCAGGAAAAACTAATTTGTTGATGTTTTGATTATGTATTAATGTTTTGTAGGTTGAAATAAGTCCACTGGAAAATGCAATTGAAACCATGCAATTAACAAATGAAAAGATAAATAATATGGTCCAACAACATATGAATGATCCCAATATGCCCATCAATCCTCTCTCCTTGCTTCTAAATGGCATTGTGGATCCAGCCGTGATGGGAGGATTTGCAAATTATGAGAAAGTATGTCTTGTATTGCATAGTTCTACTTTTTTAAAAAAAATTTAACTAGTAATTTTATATTTTAGCAGGGTTGATATATTTTGGGGAATTGCTTGCCACATTTTTACAGGTTTGAAATAAGCTTTCAAAAGTTGGTAATTGCAATATATTGTTTTAATCTGAAAACAAGGAAAAATAAATACCTTTAAAAAAAATAAATAAATAAATAATAATAAAAAAAAAAAAAATATATATATATATATATATATATATATACATACACACACTCTAGCCTGACATTTTTTATTAACATTCAAATATACATCCAAATATACTCCATAGTCCGGACCTAGAAGCATTGTAGTGGTTGAAGGTGATCAATTTGCTGCTGCAACTTTATAAGGTTCTTAATCAGTAATGTTCTAATCGATGATGACTAAAAAAGGTCATGTAGTACCAACATGGCTATTAATATGCAGAAAAGGGTCATATTTTCATATGTTAATTACAATTAGATTTAAGGTAGCATGTTTAAAGTATATATTAATTTGTGTAAAAATCTGTAGGGAATTTTTAAAACTTGGTAATGAGAGAGTTTTGTCATTTTGAATTTAAATGAAGAATATCTTCCACAGGTATATCTAGGGTATTTGGCTATCAGATTTGTCCTTCAACATCCCCTCTCCCCCTTGACACTCCAAGCACCCATAGCCATCATGGCTTATTAAAGTGGTTATGGTGCAAGGAGGCCATGAGATCTAAAGCTTGCCTCTGACTGCTAAAACATAATTTGTATCTCCCTCCCCCTTCTGTCACCCAGTTGTTTTTCCCACTTTATCTTTGACCACCTATGTCTACTCCCATTTGTGCCCATTCTCCGTCTGTTCACACCTACACCTTTCTTGATCTCCCACTTTCGCTTTTGTGTCTTTCCCTCCACCTGTGCCTTCATATTGTACAATGTGTGAGTGATATTGAGGCATGGTCCTCTGCTTAATCTGTCAGTGGCAGTGCAGCTTAGCATGCACAGCATGTGCTCATTTGCACTAAAAGACGGGGTAGAGGGGCATAAAAACCCTCAGCCGCAGCCCTGCTTGGCTGCAGTACAGAGCTAGGAGAGTAGTACTGCATGCAGCCCCCTCCCCTAAAAAATTCCTTGTACATTCCTGATTTTAATGCTTCTTTGGTGTGATCCAAAAATCAAAATGTAACAATATTGTATCTGTTATTGTCAAGGCATTCTTTACAGAAAAGTACATGCAGGAACACCCAGAAGACCACGATAAGATTGAAAAAGTAAAAGACCTGATTGCATGGCAGGTAAAGTCTTTTAAATCACATTACTCAGAAGGAAGCCTTAAAGAAACCTCTTGAGTCTGCCCTCTCTTCTGACACCCTGTCATTGTTGTGGCATATGGAATTTTCTGGCATTTACATGCCCTATAGAGGCAAAGTGGGAACTCATATTCCAGTTTGACATTATCATCTGATAAATATAGATGGGAAATGTGTAGTTAACCCACTGTCTTTTGCAACTTGATTTGGACGTTACAAGTGTCAAAATGTAAATGCCTGGAACAATGAACATTTCATTTACCCATGCATTGCCGTGCAAAGAAAGCTTGAATTGTCAACAAAACACTTTTGGTCATATATAACACAGAAAACAACAATGTATTGTCACTAGAAGATGAAGTTGGGACTGTATACAAAGTTGCAGTAATATTCAAAGTGTTGACAGATCTTTCTTCAATTCTTCTAAGAGCATTTTTCTAGTGGGGTCTGTCATTTAACAGCTCCAAACATCTTTTAAAATACAAAAACATTTATATAATTATCTTCTGGCTTTTAGAAACTGTAAGCAGCTTTTAATTCAATTTTGCTGCATCAAGAACTATTTTGCCACATGCACAATTACACATTAATTTGCTCTGCTCACAGAACAGGGCCAACTGAGAGGTGAATCAGTCATGATATTGCATAATAGAAGGTCCAGAAATCAATCAATGAATTGTTGTATTAAAATAATTATAAGAAAAAAATGATGTAATACAAATAGGCGTAATTTCATGTTCTTCTGTTATAAGTCCTTTGTATAATGAGGGCAAATAATGGTAGTTCTTGGAATGTTTTGTTCTAAAGGTCTATTGATTGATTCGATTATTTTCCAGCTTAGTTAGTGAATAGGATAACGCTCTTATAATTATGCTCTCCTACTGTGATTTATCAAGGTTTTATGTACCTTTAACTCTAAAAATGGTTACAATTAAAGAAACAGTAGTTTGGCTTTAAAAGTACAATGAAATTAATGTGTGCATTCAGTGTATGATATTATCAGTAGTGTTGTCGCGAACTTTTCGCAAACGCTCGCGGCGAACTCCGGTCAAATGACACATCCCTGCCAATCTCCGGCAGACCCTCCCTCCCAGACCCTCCCACCTCCTGGACAGCATCCATGTTGAAGGCAGCTTCAACATGGATGCTGTCCAGGAAGTGGGAGGGTCTGGAAGGGACTGCCGGAGATTGGCAGGGATGTGTCAGCTGACCGGAGTTCGCCACGAACGGTGGCGAACCATTCGCGAACGGTTCGCGACAACACTAATTATCAGCCATGAGTGCACATTTCTGCAAATTTTACAAAACCTGCAGAGTTGACCAACCTGATTTTATTTATTTTATAAATATATTTTTTACAGTTCCATTTGAAATTCTGACAAAGATCAAAATAAATATGATCATTTTTCTTTAACTAGTTAACTGTTAACCGGTTTGTTCCACTTAAGGTTCCCTTCTTGGCTGAAGGAATACGAATTCATGGAGAGAAAGTAACGGAGGCATTAAGGCCCTTTCATGAACGAATGGAGGCTTGCTTTAAGCAGCTGAAAGAAAAAGTAGAGAAACAATATGGTGTCAGGACACTAGTAAGTATTACAAAAATGTGTTGTTTGAAATAAAAGTGATGCCATTAGTAGTCTTTACAAATGTGCCTGATTAGAAAATATAGCATCAGAAATTATACTATTTGGATACTTTATTCATTAATATTTAGAGTTCACTAAGGGTTACCTGTGCAGACCTCAAGTAGATAAACGGTGTTTTTATTTTCCAGGCCTTCTAAAAGCCCATATTTTAGCAGTAAATTCCCTACTTTAGGGTCCCATCTTGCTTACCAGGGTTTGTTCTCTAGTATCCCACTTTTGGGAACACCAGGTAACTCTACCCAGGAAGTGTAGCTATCCTATGGGCACTTAGTAAGCCGGCCTGTTTGACAATGTGCATTGTCGCTAGGCTGATCTGTTAATTCTTTAGCTGGACCCACTCCTTTTCTGGGAGGGTCTGCCCCAATTACACCCTTACCATCAGAGTCCGCATCACAGGGTGCAGATGTTGTGGGCTATATTGTTCACACCTTAACTTGTCAGAGCTCTTACATTTGCAACTGCAAACACATAAAGCGCCAAGGTTACTAAATCTGGTGGAAACTGTATGACATACAAAACCACAAGCCAATCTCCCCTCTCCTGCATTGTACCCGTATAGCTTTGGGGGGGGGGAGGGAGAGGGAGGGAGTGTTATTTTAAAAATCCAAAAAGGCATTGTGTCCATAATCTCATAGTGCCATTAACACTGCAAAGAGTTGGTAGTGTTTATGATGTTTGGAGTTCAGTTTATGTGAAAATGGACAGATATACGTGGGCCTTATGCCACGGGCTGTTGTTTAGGGGAAAGTAAAACGGAACTGTTAGCGACGCAGTGAAATCAGTCTGGTTTAAGAACAGCACATAGATCTCCCTTTAAGCAGCAATCTGCAATGTCTCCTGTGCTTTGTATTAGAAGCAACTCAGTGACTATTGGACAGTTTGCCTTGAAAGGTAGCTATCATGCATTATTATAAATTAATCAGCTTATTTCTACAGTCTCAAAGGAATCATCCATACTGAAACCAGTAAAGTAGAAGCCTGTAAGACACTGAGCATGATAGATTGATATAATAAGCCATTAGACTTCTGCTTGATGTGATTTTTTTTTTTTTATCTAACCCAAACAATAATTGCATGTGCATCTTTATCTCATTCTTTTCTTTGAGTAAGAATGAGCATGTTTTAGAAATAACTCATTTTACAAATGTATTGCATTATCCTGTGTCACATGACATTGCAAAGGCAGTGCATTAAATTGTGACAGTGTGGAAGCTCTGGATCATGTTATTAAGCTGATGTTTGTTTGGCTCTGCATGATGACTGTCTAACTAGCGTGAATATTTTAATATGATGATGTCAAATGGCTACCCATCAGAAAAAAAAGTACCTGAAAACTAAATTCTGCCATATTTTTGAAGCCCCTTCTCCAATTAAAATAGTTTTAAATAAATAAATGTTACTGATGTAGAGTATTGTGTAATATCTCCCATCCTGCCTGAAAATAAGTCCCTTCTTGAAAGTCAGGGTAGCAGCTTGAATTTTCAAGGGGCGCTCATAAAAAATAGTGTGATTCAATAGTAAGGCAAATAGATACATTTAGATTAAGGAGTTACATGTATGTTCTTCTAGAACTGTATGCTAAGATTGTGACTCAAGACTTGTCATAGACGTGCTTGACAATTTGTTATCTGTAGTTCTTGTAGAATAGTGGTCCACATTTTCCTAGTTTAGTTCTCTGTAGATCTTGTAGTATAGTGGTCCCCATACTAGTCCTCGAGGAATACCAATATTCCAGGATTTAAGCATTTTTCCCCAGACTGTTTCTTTAAATGTAGAATCGTCTATAAGCCTGCAAACATGGCTCTATTGACCATTCAATGTGTTACAATCACCAGAAGTCTTAGTGTCTCAATTAAGATTAGGGATGTTGACATTATTAGATACCTTACATCAGTTTTAATATGAAACATTGATAGCCCACCAGCACTATGCCAAAACATGTCAGATGCTATTTTGATAATGTCTTTCTAATCCCTATTCTAAGGGCTGACAAAGATGATGGAGTGTTACCACGACTGTCTACTTACACTGTATAAATTAATCAGCAGTCGACAGAGTACAAAATGTATGCATAGTTGAGCAGCTGAATATATTTAATTTTGTTTCATTCAGTCAAAAAAATTAGACTGCTCCGGAGGCATCTGAAAATGTTCAGATTCTAAATACTTCATCCTTCAACCTTAGTTTAAATATAATTTCTTTCTCATAAGTATTCTGTTCATATTTTTTTCTTAATATTATACTCCTCCCCCCCCCCCTTTATTTTTTTTTCTTCTTTCTGGAGTAAGTAAAATACAAATCAGTAAATCCTTGTTAGTGTTTAATAACATTTATAATAAATAAAAGCAGTTTTCAATTTGTAAGGAATAATATATATTCTTTCACATCTATTTATATTTTTTACTGGCATGTATAAAGAAGTAATTTTATAATTATATATTTTTTTTTTCTAATCATAATATGTAATATAAGGATGTAGCTTTGGAAATGGTTGCATTTTACCTGGTAAATGTATCACATCCATGTAATATACATTTACATAAGTATACATTTCTATAGATTTTGTTTTGAGAATAACAAGCCAATAAAATATTAGTAAATTTTCTATTCTACCCTGTAGTCCTCATCCTTGGATGAAAGACGTGGGAACCGACCCAGATCTATGGTCAGATCATTTACAATGCCATCATCATCAAGACCTTTGTCAGCAGTGTCCATGTCCTCTATCTCTTCTGATAGCACACCTTCACGACCAGGATCTGATGGGTATGTAGTCTTAAAATGATTTCACTTTGTCGGGCTCCTTTCACGGTGTGATTGGTTCTTTGTTTACATAGATGAATTTCAGGTTTCCACAAGTATAAACTTTTTAAGTGAAATAACCTATCCATTGTATTTGCCATAGCACCTGTGCTATCTGTCACTAGAATATGTACCAAACAATTTGCATACATTAAATAGAACATCCCTGTAGTCCACATACTTGGATGAAAGACATGAGAACCGACCTAGATCTATGGTCAGATCATTTACAATGCCATTATCATCACGACCTTTGTCAGCAGTGTCCGTGTCCTCTATATCTTCTGATAGCACACCTTCACGACCAGGATCTGATGGGTATGTAGTCTTAGAACGATTTCACTTTGTCGGGCTCCTTTCACGGTGTGATTGGTTCTTTGTTTACATAGATGAATTTCAGGTTTCCACAAGTATAAACTTTTTAAGTGAAATAACCTATCCATTATATTTGCCATAGCACCTGTGCTATCTGTTACTAGAATATGTACCAAACAATTTGCATACATTAAATAGAACATCCCTGTAGTCCACATAGTTGGATGAAAGACATGAGAACCGACCTAGATCTATGGTCAGATCATTTACAATGCCATTATCATCACGACCTTTGTCAGCAGTGTCAGTGTCCACCTTATCTTCTGATAGCACACCTTCATGACCAGGAAGTGATGGGTATGTAGTCTTACAACTGTTTCACTTTGTTGGATCTCCTTCCATTTGTGTGATTGATTTCTGGTTTAAGCAAGATGACTTTGGAATGTTCTACACATTTCAGTTTTCCACAAGTATAAACCTTTTAAAGGGAAATAACCTACCCATTATATTTGCCCTAGCACCTGTGCTATTTGTCACTAGAATATGTATCGAAAGATTTGCATACATTAAAAAGCACATCCTTTGTGGTTGTATTAAACTGTACTGTTTTAATGTTTCAGATTAAGTATGTTTTCAAATTATTACCTACCAATGCCAGAAGTAAATTGCAGTGCTGTCATTCTCATTATGAATTCCTGGAACAAATATGCCTTTTCATGCTTTACGTATGCATGAGTACTATATGCAAATATTGCAACACAAGAAATGAGCCTGAAATTTCAGAGAGTAATCTAAATAATTTATAGAGTTAATGTTGATAGATTTGACATTCTTGAGTATTTACAATTTTCTGTTAAGCAGAAACTATTATGATTTATGCACATCCTTAACTTTCATATTAATTCCTGTTCCATAAAGAACCATGGTTTTCATGGTTGTATTTGTGGATTGAAGGACTCTGTGTCATGACATTTATTATTTTACTCATCTTCTAGAGAAATGTTGATGCACCACTAAGAATTGATTTCTTGGAGAATTTTCATTTATATTTATCATAAGCATTAGATTCCTCTTATGACAATTAACCCATTCCACTGCAAAGCAATTTATGTAAAAACACATACAGAATACCGGATTCATGGTTATTTTGTATTTATTTATTTATATTAAATCGACATAAGAATCAAAAACAAATTAGAATTACCTAGCACTTTACCACATTATCCATAACAAAATATTGTACCATATATATTCCCCCAGTATATTATTTGACCAGAAATGGCACATTGTCTAAGCATTGCACCTAGGTGTCTTACAAACACATACACACACCCACCTTCAACACTGTGAGTATGATTCCTATCACCATTATTAGCATTTATATAGCGCCAACATATAGGGGGTATTTGGAGGTGAAGAAGGCCCTGCTCAGATGAGCTTACAATCTTT